CCATTGGCTGCCAGGGCCATGAGCACCAGCACAGCTGCCCAGGCAGAGCCAGCCTGAGACATCTCCAGCCTCATCTCACACAGCCTCGTCCTGCTGCTGCTGCTGCACCCACTGCTGCACACTCTGGGCCTCACTGCTGGCACCATGCAGCCCCCTCGCTGCTGCCTCCTCCTCCTCCTCCTCCTCTACCTCTTCCTCCTCTCTGGGACATGGGCAACTCTGGAGGGTAAGTGGGAGCCTTGGCTCATCCACAGCTGCTGCCGTGCCCCCGTGGGACTCCCTGGGCAAGAGGCTTCCTGCTCCACAATCCACTTTTGGCTCTTCCTTCCTCACCCCTCCTCGTTCCCTGGCTCCACACCTCCTCCTGGGCAGGGATGCAGCCACCTGGGCTGGGTGCAGGGGTTGGGCACCGGTGCTGCCAAGGCTGTGGGGGCCTAGGGGGGTCCACAGATCACTGCAACCTCAGGGACCTGCCTGGCAGCACCTCCACTTTCCCTGTGCCTCTCCTCCCACTCCCATCTCCTCCCTACCAACCCCTTTCTCATGTAGGGACCGTCACTCTCCGGCTGCTCCACACCTCCACCTTCCAAAACACCTCCTTTGTGGAGACAGAAGGGCTTGGCCTGCTGGAAGACATCCAACTTGGTTCTCTTGATAAGCACACCTGGTCCATCCACTTCCACCAGCCCTGGGTGCGTCCAGCTCTACCCCGCATGGACTGGGACAACATTGACAACCTGTTCAGGTTCTATTTCTTGAGGTTCATCCACCATATCAATGAAGGGGCCATGCAGAGGGATGTGCCCTGTGAGTATCCAGTCTTCACTGCCTCCCCTCTCTGAACAGCAGCTGGGGAGTGGGGAAGGATCTGGCAAGTGCTGGCACTGTAGAGGGGACACTGATCATGTCCACAGCAAGGCAATCCCAGCCCCTCCTGCAACCTCTCTCTCTCCTCTCTGCCCCTCCAGACCCCTTTGTGGTTCAGTGCAGGGCAGACTGTGAGCTCTACCCCAACAGGACTTCTCAGACCTTCGCCTATATAGGCTACAACGGGCAGGATTTCCTCAGCTTTGACACAAACAATGTTACCTGGACCCTCTCCCAGGACACCGACCTGTCCCGGTACGTCCTTGCCTACCTCAAGAACTACACATCTTTCAGTGAGTGGGCGGAGGTCATCTTCAGAGATGCATGCGTCAATGCCATGGAGAGGTTACTGAGCTACGGGAGGGCAGTTCTGGAGAGACAAGGTGAGACCACCCTGACCCTGCCACGGCCACCCCAAAGCCCTGGGGCCAAGCCCTGCCCTGCCAGGGCTTGCCCCACATCCCCACCCCTTTGCTCCCATCCCCCAGAGGTGCCCGTGGCCACGGTCTTTGCCCGCACGCCCAGCCCACACCAGCTGCTGCTGGTCTGCCATGTCACCGCCTTCTACCCGCGGCCCATCAGCGTGGCCTGGCTCAGGGATGGCCAGGAGGTGCCTCCGGGCCCGCAGCTCAGCACCGGCC